AAACTTTAAAACCTTAGTCTTAAAGCTTTAAAGTGGTCTTCTGCAGCCGATTTGCTCAGTGCAATATGTCATCTGATTCTTGACTGCTGCTTCCATTGGTGTTGATCGTGGAAGCAAGAAAAATGAAATCTTTTGACAACTTGAGGATTTTCATGTTCTTTATGTTGAGGTGTCATCATACTGCAGACTGTAGTCTTTAATTTCATCACTAAGTGCTTCAAGTCATCTTCACTTTCAGCAAGCAAGATTGTGTCATCTGCATATCGCAGGTTAATGAGTCTTCCTCCAGTCTTGATGCCACGTTCCTCTTCATATAGTCCAGTTTTTTAGATTATTTGCTCAGCATACAGATTGTATAAGTATGGTGAAAGGCTACAACCCTGACACACTCCTTTCCTGATTTTAAACCATGCAGTATCCTCTTGTTCTGTTAGAAGGACAGCCTCCTGGTCTGTGGACAGGTTCCTCATGAGTACAACTGACTGTTCTAGAATTTCCATTCTTCTCAATGTTACCCATAATTTGTTATGATACACATGGTAGAAAGCTTTTCATAGTCAATAAAACACAAGTAAACATCTTTCTGGTATTCTTTGCTTTGAACCAAGAGCCATCTGATGTCAGCAATGATACTCCTCCTTCCATGTCCTCCTCTGAATCCAGCTTGCATTTCTGGAAGTTCCTTGTCAATATACCTCTGCAACTATTTTTGAATTATCTTCAGTAAGATTTTACTTGAATGTGATATTAATGATATTATTCAGTAATTTCCACATTCTGTGGGTCACCTTTCTTTGGAATGGGTACAAATATGGAACTCTTCTAGTCAGTTGGCCAGGTAGCTGTCTTCCAAATCTCCTGGCATAGATGAGTGAGTACCTCCAGTACAGCATTCTTTGGTTGAAACATCTCAATGGCTATTCCATCAATTCCTGGAGCTGTGTTTTTCACCAATTCCTTCAGTACAGCTTTGACTTCTTCCTTCAGTGCCATTGGTTCCTGATCCTATTCCACATCCTGAAATAGATGAACATCGATCAATTCTTTTTGGTACAGTAACTCTGTGTATTCCTTCCATCTTCTTTTGATGTTTCTTGCATCATTCAATATTTTGCCCACAAAATCTTTCAATATTGCAACTCAAGGATTGCATTTTTTTCTTCAGTTCTCTCAGCTTGAGAAATGCTGAGCATGTTCTTCCCTTTTAGTTTTCTAACTCCAGGTCTTTCCACATTGCATTATAATACTTTACTCTGTTTTCTAGAGCTGCCCTTTGAAATACTCTGTTCAGTGCTTTTACAGCATCATTTCTTCCATTTGTTTTAGCTGCTCTCCATTCAAAAGCAAGATTCTGGGTCTCTTCTGACATCCATTGTGGTCTGTTCTTCCTTTCCTGTCTTTTTAACGACCTTTTGTTTTCTTCCTGGATGATGTTCTTGATGTCATCCCACAATTCCTCTGTTTTTTGGTCATTGGTATTCAATCCATCAAATCTATTCTTTAGGTAGTCTCTACATTCAAATGGGATATAATCAAGGCCATATTTTGGCTCTCATGAACTTGTTTTAATTGTCTTTAGCTTCAACTTGAACTTGAGTATGAGAAGTTGATGGTCTGTTCCAGTCAGTTCCTTGGCTTGTTTTCACAGAAGATATTGAGCTTATCCATTGCCACTTTCCACAGGTAAAGTCGATCAGATTCCTGCGTACTCCATCTGGCAAAGTCCATGTGTATAGCTGTCATTATGTTATCGAGAAAAGGTATTTGCAATGAATAAATTGTTGGTCTTGCAAAATTCTATCATGTGATAGAATCACTTCTATCACCAAGGCCCTATTTTCCAACTACTGGTGATTCTTCTTTGTTTCCAACTTTTGCATTCCAATCAACCAGTAATAATACATTTTGGGTGCATGTTTTCTCAATTTCAGATTGCAGAAGTTGGTAAAAATCTTCATTTTCCTCATCTTTGGCTTTGATGGTTGGTGCATAAATTTCCTTGTGGGCATATGGAGGTTATCCTATCACTGACAGTATAGTACTTCAGGATAGATCATGAAATGTTTTTTGTGACGAATGCCACACCATTTTTCTTCAATTTGTTATTCCCAGCATAGTAGATTACATGGTTGTCTGATTCAAAATGGCCAAAATCAGTCCATTTCAGCTCACTCATGGCTAAGATATCAATTTCTATGCATTCCATTTCATTTTTGACAACTTCTAATTTTCCTAGTGTTTTGGTTACCTCCGTGCTGCTCTAACAGAAAATAAACCACAAATGGGATGGCTGAACAAACAGGAGTTTATTCTCTTACAGTTTGGAGGTTTAAGACAGTTCAAAGTGCCAGGCTCTAGGGACTGGGTGAAAGCCACTCAACCTTGGGCTTCAGCTCTGCCTCCTGCTCCCAGCCCACTGGAGCTAGAGGCTTTTCTTCACTCAGACAGCTACTGGCTGCTGAGACTGACAAGCCCAAGCTTGACAAGTAAAAAAGCACAGTCCCAATTTTACCAAACCATATGGCAGGCCATTAATTTAAGTCCATCGAAAGTCCCAAGGTCAGCACAGCATGGCAGGCTGCTGAACAACAACACAGCTACATGCAGGGTTTAAGCATGCCATAAACTAGAAACTGTTCCCAAAGGCTTGTCCTTATATACAGGAAGCAGACCATATCTCTAAGGCAACTACTCAGCTGCTCACAGTAGATTCCACCATGGAGTTGATTACCAGTCTCATCATGGGGATTACTATATCCAGCTGCCCAGCCACTCAACCAGGCCCAGCCAAGTTGACACACAAACTTAACTACCATACCTAGATTGATTCTTCGTACTTTCCATGCTCTGATTATTAATGGATGTTTGCAGCAGTTTCGTCCTATTTTGAGTCGTGCCATATCAGCAAATGGAGGTCCTGAAAGCTTTACTCCATCCACGTTATTAAGGTCAACTCTGAGGAGGTAGCTCTTCCCCAGACGTATTTTCAGTTCCTTCTGATCTGAGGATCTCATCTTCTGGCACTATATCAGACAGTATTTCAGGGCTTTTCATAGTTTTCCAGTACTGTATTAGTGTTTCACTGCTATTCATAAGGTTTTCACTGGACAATTCTTTGAGAAGTAGATGGCCCCTTCCTTCTTCCAAGTCCGTTTTAGTCTGGACACTCCGCTGAAACCTATCTACCATGGATAACCCTGATGGTATTTGAAATACTGGTGACACTGTCTCCAGTCTCAACACACAAGCCAGTATGACAAAATGACATATGAGTGATAGCTCTTCTACTTAGTAGCCTCTATTTTCTGTGAAATCTCTATCTCTACTACTTTACAGATTTTTTTTAAAGAATGAAATAAATACTGTAAAAACAGTTCATTTATGAGCAGGAAACAGGCCTTCTAGTTCAAATACTGTACAACCACTACTGTATGTCATGAATAAATTTAAAAAAAAGGAAAGAAACCAAACTCACTGTCATTGAGTCGATTCCGACTCATAGCGACTCCTCCTTGGGTTTCCAAGGCAGTAATCTCTACAGAAGATTGCCCAGTTTTCTTTCCAAGGAGTGGCTGGTGGGTATGAACTGCCAGCCTTCTGGTTATCAGTCAAATGCCTTAGATATGAGATACTCAAACATTAATTTACTGCAGACTGATTATTCACATGTTAAATTAATCATGAGATTTGACTCTATGTTACTCCCTCTCCACCCATAGATGTTTTATTCCAATAAAACTCACCAACTGCTTTTGCTAAAGAAATGAGCAACATGGGGGCTCATATGGAAGCTAATTTTGCCCTATTAAAACCGCTAATTTACTTGGATCACAATACACGTTAACACTGACTCAACAAATCCATTTCTAGAGATTTACTCTATAAATGTAAAATGACATACTTAACATGTAATCATTGCAGCTTTGTTTATAACAGCAAAACACTAGATGAAACATAATGTCTAACAATAGCATACTGATCAACTAAATTATGGTTCACACTTAAAATGTAGCCAAAAAAAAGAACAAGACAACGCTACATATACTGACATAGACCCATGTCCAAGATATTTTGTTAAGTGACAAAATGAAAATGTGGATGAGTATAATATATTACCATTTGTCGCTTAAAAAAAAAAAAGAAAAGAAACCTCTGTTCACTACACATAAAATATTTCTGAAAGGATATATAAGAAATGGTAACACTGACTGTCCACAGGAAAGGAGCTAGATGTGTTGAGCCAGGCATGGGACAGCAAATTTTCAGTGTATTAATCTGAATTCTACATCTTTTTATTTTTGAATTTTTTTTGGGGGGGGAGGGGAGATATAAAAATAAATTACGTAAGGTACAGTTTTGCCCATAACAGAATCTTCTACATTTAGTATAAAAGGCATATACTCCAAAAGGAGTTAAAAAAAAAAAAGAGTATTTAAAAAAAAAAAAAAAACACATTTTTGTTATGAAGCTCTTTCATACTCGTTTCCCTTTACATAACTCACCTCAAGGGGAAATGGGGACACAATAGAAAAGGAAGCAGTTTATAAACAGTAAGGTACATTCATAAGGAAGGAGCCCTACTGGCGCAGTGGTTAAGTCCTTGGCTGGTAAGCAAAAGGTCAGTGGTTCAAACCCACCAGCTGCTCCAAGGGATAAAAGACCTGGCAATATGCTTCCATAAAGATCATGGCCTTGGAAACCCTACAGGGCAGTTCTATTCTGTCCTATAGGGTTGCTATGAGTCAGACTTGCCTTAATGACAACAGGTTTGGTTTGGGTTTTTGGTATATTGACAAGTGAGTGTAAAGGAGGACAAGAGGGAAACTCCATAGTTCGCCAGACAATTAAATCTGTCCAGTTACCCTGTGCTGAGCTCACTTCTGCCAAATTCACATTATTAAAAAGTGAGAGGAGGCTGAAAGGTTGACACAAGAAAGCAAAAAGATACATGACATTTTACATATTTTTTGTTCATGGGTACAGGGAGAATAAAACCTTACCTCAATTCTTTTCAACACATCTGTACTATTAGTGAGTGAAGCGACTTTGCTGGCATCAGTTGCCTTTTTGGATTTGGGGCCTGCTAAAGTGAAACAACTAATTAGCACATTTTCCCTTAACAACTGTGGATTATACTTTTTCACCTTTCATATCCTGTCTACCATAATGGTATGTCATGATTAGGTAATCACGTAATTTATAGACTGAAGTAGCGTTTTTAAATAAACAAAACAAATCATCACACAGAACCCATTTTCCAGTGATAAGAAATAAATGGTAATCACTTAATAGGATAAATTTTTTTAAGGCTGCCACTAGATTTATTTTCACTAATATTGAAAAAGGAGGAGCTCGGGTGGCATAGTGCCTAAGGCATCTGACTGCTAGCCAAAAGGCTGGTGGTTCAAACCCACCAGCCACTCCTCAAAAGGAAGGTTGGGCAATCTACTCTCGTAGAGACGCCGCCTCGGAAACCCAAGGAGGGGTCACTATGAGTCGGATCCAACTCGACAGCAGTGAGTAAGAATATTGAAAATGTGAACTGACAATTAAGATTACTAGGACCAAAACTGCTAAGTGGAATAGCAGAAGCATTAGAGTACCAATGAAAGGCTCTCACAAATCTGTCTTTCACACCAGCCTCCTGCTCAAAGCAATTTTACCAGTTTTGGAAAATAAAAAGAAGTATAGGAAAAATATACATTCACCAACAAGAAAAGAGGTGAGAAAGAAGTTAGACTCAGGATAATACAGCATTCTCCATAGAATAACACACTCATCACGCAATCTGGAAAACCAAAGCATTATAAATGAGATTGTGTTTTAATGGTCTTGAGATACACAACACTTTTTAGTCATATTAAAAATACTGTATTTTGAGGCTATTCTAAAAACAGCAGGGAATAGAGAATTATTCCACATACAAATCCTGCCAGTCTTTTACAAAACTATGATGATGATATGCTACAAAACTATCCCATTGTGATCAAGAAAGTATTACAGTTCTTTTATAAAATCAAACTAAATATCAGAAATTACTTGGAAATAGGAAAATATGGTTCAAAAGATGTAATTTTGTTAAAGATTAACATTTAACCTACAGAAGAAAAAATTTTTAGATTGTGGTAGGATGACTCATAACTGATGGAATTATAATTTACTCCCTTGGGGGTCACTCAGACCATGGCTCCCAAACATGCATATTAGTGAGATTTTGCTCAAACAAAACTAACAGCGAGACTTGATGATGGGTAACTTTCTCCACTCCAAACCCTTGGGAGCAAAGATTGTATAATTTGAACTGTACTATATAAAATATAGTATCACAGATGAACAAGATCTCAATATATAATATTGATGCCAAAAACTATTAGCTAAAGATGTAACTTACTTATACCATAAAGTCTTTTATCAAATTATTTAATTTCATAACATACAATTCTGTTACGTAAATACCATAGGACATAGTCAGGTAATAAAAAAGTGTTTCTTTCTAAGAAAGTCAGCAGAGTCAAGTCCACTCAGCATTCTTTCCCACCTACCATTTTCATTTTACAGAATGCCTAAACCTTATATATATAATTGGGGAAGAATTAACAAAATTTGTTGAAAGCCTGTTTTAACCCTAAAACACTGGCATGAATATTTTTTCACCTTTGGCCACATATGTAAAGATGGCACAGAGGCAAGTTAGAACTTGATGGCACTGTGAACAACTATCCCAACCACCACCACCATCACTTACTTCTAAAATTCTTGTCACTAACAAAAATAAAACTCTCTTTGTGAAGTCAATATTACGTAGGTCTTCTGATATTTGTAGCCAAATACATTTTTAATGACTACAGTAATATTTATTGATTGATTTCCATCTCTCACGACTATTATTAGTTACTGAATGTTTTTAGTTTCTGTTTGTGGAACTTTCACTTCCATTCTCTGTTAACCTCAAGCTCCTCATTCTAACTTTCAGACCACCTTTATTTTTGCTTTTATTTCTTTTCCTATTTCATCACAATTTTGATGTATATCCTCATAACCCATCTGGGTTTGTCTGGGTCTTTCTTGGCCTCTACTCATTCTCATTTTGATGATTCACATGTACAGAATAAAATCTAAAACTTTCCACTCTCCTGGTTCCCACCAGCCACTCCTCAGAAGGAAGAGTGGGAAATCTACTTCTGTAGTAATACCACCTCAGAAACCCAAGGAGGGGTTGCTATGAATCAGATCTGACTCTACAGCAGTGAGTTTGGTTTGGTTTGGTTTGGTTTTTTGGTTTTCCTCCCTCTCTTTTCATCTCTTTTCCTTCATTTATTCAACCTTCCCTGACTGCCAATTAAATCTTAGAATTCCTGCAAGCTTAGGCCCTCCTTTCTTCTAATTTTCCAATTTTATCCTAAACAATCTCATACTTTCTCACTGTTTCAATGATCATATCTATCCTGACTACTGTCTCCATCTTAATGGACTTTAGTCCATTCCCTGCATCCAACAATATATTCCACATTTCTAAGTATACAGCTCAAAAGAACCCCAAATAATATGTTTGAACTGAACTCATGACTTTCCCTCACAAACCAGTCTTCATTCAATGTCCCCCTCCTTCCAATTGCATCTGTGTAAACTCCTATATATCCTTTAATCTTGACACCAATTCCATTTCCTCAAAGAATCCTTCCCCGGCCTCTCAAAGAGGACAGTGTATTTTTTGTTTAATATTTTTACCATATTTGGCTGTAAGCTCCATGAATGCAAGAAATACTCCCTCAGTTATATTGTTCTCAGTATAGTATCTGGAGTTATGAAGCAGGTGCTCACCAACTATTTCCTCAATGAAATTATTAAAGAACAAAACAGAAGCATTCACTTAGTTATTTTTATGTACAACACAGAGTTCCCAAACTATAAATCTTTTTGGCTAAAACCTTAAATGTAGCCAGTATAATTATTAAAAAGGAAAAAAAAAAAAAAAAAGCAAATATGCAAATGAAAGGGTTCAGATAACTGAAGTTTCTCCTAGCACATCAAAACTCTACAACTAAAGAAAGAACAACTAAACATAAAATAAGAAATCATTAGCAGCAGGAACAAAAGCTTAAGCAAAATAATCAAACTGCCAAACACAGTTTAAGCAAAGGTACTGAGAACATACGGTATTACTACAGAATGACAATTCCTTATTAATAAAATTCATGCACTAACCCTTTCCTACCTGGATTACTATTATATGGTCAATGTACCTTTTTTGCATTTTTTCCTTGGCATCATCTCTCTTGGGAGCCTCCTCCAATCTATGTGTACAAAAGAAGAAACATAAAAATTACATTTTCCTGTAGAAATCTAGAGTGTGTCAATAGTTTAACTACTTAAAAAATACAATGAGAGTTGCATTTGTAATGAAAATGTCTTAGAATGTGAATGTACAGATATAGCATGAGAATCACAATGTCAAAGACAGTTCTATATTTTCTTCTATAAAGACAAAAAGATCATTAGAATAATTCTGAGATAGCGCTGCACAATTTTTACAGCATTACCTAAATAGCATTTTACATAATCAATTTTAAATATACAAGTTTTCATAATGATAATGATTAAAGGTGAAAATATAAAAATACATTTATAGGCATGAAAATTATTTATAGGGTTGAATTTAAAAAAGTTTCCAGAGCAATACGCATAGAGTTTTGCTTTGAATGTGTTTATTTTTATAAAGTACTCATAGAAGTTCATGAGAATGTATGTAAAGGGAATCATTTGGGAAATTATTCATAAATGGAAGAAATGAGAAATATGAGAGTGTTTCAAGGAAACCCACACTTACCAAAGATCAACACTGAAAAGAGAGAGCAATGTAACACCTGAAAGTGATAAGCTTTACTAGTATCATTCACGGTGTTATATAAAGGGCAGTAAAACATCAAGGACGAAGAAGTCAAGGAAGGTGAAGTAAACTGAGGAGACCAAGACTCCAATACTAGCAAAATCATCCTAAAAAAATCACTTCATTTCTATGGCAACTATTTTTTATCTTCAAAATGAATAAGCTGGATAAATCTCCTCTACAGCCTCTTCCACCCTGTGTCCAAGGTAAAACTTGTAAATGTTGAAAACAAAACCTTCCCAGGTATGATGCTGTTGAAAAGACATCGTCACAATTAAAGTTAGTCTATGTGTACTTGAAAGAAAAGAAGATCCATGAGCTTCATCTAAAATATCCTTAAAGATAGAGCTTTGTTTCTTCTTCTCAAAAGCTGCAAATTTGCTTGAGTAAGCATTATACTGATAATTAGAAATTAAAATTGTGATTGTGGCCAAAAAAAAAAATCAGAAGTCACAACTGGGTTTAGCAAGTCCTATTTCTATAAAAAAGGCTATTTTAAGAACTTTCACATAAACACTTCAATTCTTCCTTGTTACAATATAAAAATCTTTTCATCTTAATGTCTCAAAGACTTATATACTTATATTACTAATTACTATTTTCCTACGGCAAAATAGAAAACTTAACCTGAAAAAAAGATGGCATAGTGTTATAGCCTTTAAAAATTATTTTAACATTGACTGTTTTATAATTACCTGGTACCCATTCTTCTTTGTATATTTTCATATGGTTTTTACTATACCTTTCAATATCTAGGAAAAAAAGAAAAAAGCATTCATTAGAAAAATCCAAAATAAACCTGAACTTAAGCCATTCTTTTAAAATAACTGAAAACACCAGAACTTTTATTTCACATAGTTTCCTACATTTGTACATAAGGTGTTCTTGAACACAAATTTAAAAGTTCAGTGAGAATTATATATTTAAGGAGGTGGCTAGGGATAACTGGGTGTGAAGAGTCAGTAGCAAGGAGAGATATAAACTATAATTTGATCCTTAGAGTCAAACATCCTGACTCATTTGTGAAAATGTTTACAATAGCCAATAACCAGGGCAAGAAGATCTTACTTGGAATCTTCTATTTGCTTCTTGTGACACTGCTTTGTACCTTCCAATATTTAAATCTTATGTAATTAGAATAAATTTACCATAATTTTCCACAAATAACACATTATACAGGTTTTTTCTCACAAACTATGCAACCCTCCACATGTTATATGTGCATACACATTATTCACATGAGTGTCTTACAGGTGAAACTATGGTAGTACCTAAGTGGGGGTGAAGGGCTGTTTGTTCACCTCTACCACTAATGACACACATGATTACTCAATTAGGCTCCTCAATAAACTACCTTTCAAAACACACTGGGGAAGAGAATGGAGGAAAGGTGAAGGACTAGGCAAAGTTGGGCCAGGTGAGGGGTTACCTGCCGGGAATATGAATGATCGAGCTGCAAGCCTTCCGTGCCAGCTACTGAATACTCTGCAAGGACTCTCTGAGCTTGTCAAATGGAGAGCTACCACTTTGGCTCTTCTGCTTAGCCCGATTTGCCACATGAAACTCCCCTGATGAGGGCAGGGCCTATACCATTATCCAGCAGCAAGGGTTACAAAGCAACATCAACAGGCAATAGCTGGAAATCATATTTCATCATAAAAAGTGATTTAGAAATATAACCATGAAAAAGGGAAGGTCATACAAAAGTTGAATATATAAAAACAGAACACTAATTTTCTTTTTTCCTACATTAAAAAAGAATTCTAAAAAATACAAGGGCCATGGTGTTAGAGAATAAAAAGCAGAGTCCAAGATGGCAGGCTTTTCTAGATATTTAACTGACTTTAAGTAAAATGTTTAACTCACCTTGCCCTCAAGTTTCTCATTTATAAAGAGATGTCATTACAAAATTAGAAGATTCTCGACATTTGCATAACAAAGAGACTTCTTTATATTTTTCTCCAAAACAGATTGTCTGATAGAATTTTGCATGACCAATGATTTATTTATTGTAAATAATTTTTTTCAAGAACATAAACAGTGACTATATTTGAAGAACTCATCAGAAGGAATACACAGAAATCAAATCAACTACATCTGTGGAAAGAGATGATGGAGAAGCTCAATGTCATCAATAAGAACAAGGCCAGGGGCAAACGGGGGATCAGACCATCAATCACTCCTATGCAAGTTTAAGTTGAAACTGAAGACAATTAAAATATGACTTGGAATATATCCCAATTGAATTTAGAGACCATCTCAAGAATAGATCTGATGCATTGAAATCCAGTGACTGAAGACCAGACAAGTTATGGCATGACATCAAGAGCATCATACATGGAGAAAGAAAAAGATCATTAAAAAGACAGGAAGACCAAAATGGATGGGAGAAGAGACTCTGAAACTTGCTATTGAAAGGAGTAGCTAAAGAAAGTGGAAGAAATGATGAAGTAAAAGAAGTGAAAAGAAGATTTCAAAGGGCTGCTCAAGAAGACAAAGTAAAATATTATAATGAAATGTACAAAGACATGGAGATGGAAAATCAAAAGGGAAGAACATGCTCAGAATTTCTCAAGCTGAAAGAACTGAAGAAAAAATTCAACCCTCAAGTTGCAATACTGAAGGAATCTATGGGCAAAATATTGAATGATGCAGGAAGCATCAAAAGAAGATGGAAGGAATACAGCCAGTCACTGCACCTCAAAGAACTGGTAGGCATTCAACCATTTCAGGAGGGAGAATACAATCAACTACCAATAGTACTGAAGAAAGAAGTCCAAGTTGCACTGAAGGAATTGGTGAAAAACAAGGCTCCAGGAACTGAAGGAATACCAACTGAAATGCTTCCACAAACAGATGTAACACTGAAGTCACTCATTTGCTTATGCCAAGAATTTTGAAAAACAGCTACCTGCCAATTGACTGGAAAAGATCCATATTTGGGACCATTCCCAAGAAAGGTGATCCACCAGAATGTGGAAACTATTTAACTATATTTAATATCCCATCCAAGTAAAATTTTGCTGAAGAGAACTAAAAAATCAGTACATCAACAGGGAGCTGCCAGAAATTCAGGCCAGATTCAGAAAAGGATGTGGAACATGGGATAGTATTGCTGAGCTTGATGGATTTTGGCTGAAAGCAAAGAATATCAGAAAGATATTTACCTGTGTTTTATTAAGTATGCAAAGGCATTCAACTGTATGGATAATAACAAATGACAGATAACACTGAGAAGAATGATAATTCCAGAATGCTTAATTGCACTCATGAGGAACCTATACATAGATCAAGGGGCAGTCATTCAAACAGAAAAAGGGGATATTACATGGTTTAAAATCAGGTTAGGTGTGTATCAGGGTTATACACTTTCACCATAATTATCCAATCTGTATGTTGATCAAATCAACAGGGACACCAGATTATATGAAGAAAAATATAGCATCAGGATTAGAGGAAGATTCACTAACAACGTGAGACACAACCTTGCTTGCTGGAAGTAAAGCAGACGTGAAGCACATACCGATGAAGATCAGAGACTACAGCGTTCAGTATGGATTACACCTCAACATAAAAAAAACCAAAATCCTCACAACTGGACCAATAAGCAACATCATGATAAATGGAGAAAACACTAAAGTTGTGAATGATTTCATTTTATTTGGATCCACAATCAACATCCATGGAAGCAGTAGTCAAGAAATCAAACGATGTACTGAATTGGGCAAAGCTGCTGCAGAGGACCTCTTTAAAGTGTTAAAGAGCAAAGATGTCACTTTGAAGACTTAGGTGTGCTTAACCCAAGCCATGGTCTTTTCAATAGCCTCATGAACATGTTTGAGCTAGACCATGAATAAGGAAGACTGCAGAGAATTGATTTGTTTGAATTGTGTTGGTGAAGAACTGCTAGAAGAACAAACAAATCTCTCTTGGAGGAGGTACAGCTAGAATGTTCTTTAGAAGCAAGAATGGGCAGACTTTGCCTTTCATACTTTGGTCATGGTGTCAGAAGGGACTAGTCCCTGGACAAGGATATCATGCTGAGCAAAACAGAAGGTCAGTGAAAAAAAGGGAAGACCCTCAACAAGATGGACTGATATAGTGTCTGCAAAAATGAGCTCAAGCACAGGAATGATTGTTGGAATGGTGCAGGATTGAGCAGTGTTTTGTTCTGTTGTGCACAGTGTCACTGTGAGTGCGAAGTGACTTGACAACACCTAACAACAACATACACATATATATTCCCTTGCTCTATAAGCAGAGAGGACCTATAAACAATGACACCTCAGTAGCAACAAACACACCGAGGACCCAGATCTTGGTTTCTAATACCATTTTTTAATAAAAGAAATGAAGGCTTCTTAGAGAAATGGTTGATTTTCAAACTTCTGCAGCAAACATGTAAGATGAGCCTGGAGCATCTTGCATTGTCAGAAAATAAAAAAAAAAAAATGCTCAAAACAAAGCCAACCTACATTGATTGGAGCAGTATATCAAAAGGACACAAAAGTGAACTTGAAAGAGCTTTCAACTGTTCCAAAGGTGAAACAAATTGAGGAAAAGAATTTTAAAAACAGTATTGTAGTATAAAGTAAGTATCTATGAGTTCACACTGATATAAATGACTGACTGAGTAAATAAATGAATGAGAGAGAAGAGACAGATTTCTCTTGCAGAAGAATTTTAGGAACTTATGCAGATACTCCACCTTCAGGGAGGGAAAGCAAAATCCATTCCTTTAGTGTAGGCTGCTCTTAGTTTCTTCCTTCCAAAAAGCACAGTACAGAAAGGAGGGAAAAAAAAGTAAATTTTTTTTTGGTAGAGAAAACCTAACAGACACTACTTCAGCAAGGTGTTCAAGGTCAACATCATTACTGATACGTCATGTTGACAGTATGTCTCCTTACCATGATGTGATGATAATGGCACTTTACCTCTGTGGTCTTCCTTCCAAAAACCCATACAAAAAACCAAACCCACTGTACTGAATCGATTCTAATGCTAGTACCCACAGCCTCAGTAAAACACAAGAAGATGATCATACAATTATCAGTAGAAGGGCATCCTCCAAAATACTTGACCACTACTTCTTAAAACTGTCAAGGTTATCACAAACAACAAAAAATTTGAGAAAAAGTCACCGTCAAAAGGACCATAAAGGGACATGTCAACTAAATATAATCTAGTATTCTGGATGGCATCCTGAACATAAAAATACTAAGTAAAAATAAAAACTCTAAATAAACTATGAACTTTAGTTAATAAAGTATCAATACTGGTTCATTACTTGTAATAGATGTACCTTACTACTGTAAAACATTACTAATACAGGAAACTGGGTACAGGGCACATGGGAACTCTGTGCCATCATCTCAAATTTTCTGTAAATTTAAAGTGTTCTGAAAAATAAAATCCATCCTAAAAAAAAAAAAAAAAAAACTATAATTGAATTCTAATAGATTAGTTTGACTAACAATGTTCCCCAGCATAAGACCAAAAGGTATCTAGCTTCATAAAAGCAAAAAAGATTCCATCTTTAAAATGATTCTTTATTATTAAGAGAGAAACAGACTAGTGGCAGTAAAAGAAATAAAGAATTCTAATGATTAAAATATATACACATGTCCATATATGTGTATTTGTATATATTATATAAACATTATGTGTGTGCATATATATATATATATTTTTTTTTTTTATATGAACTTGTGGTGTAGTAAATTACTTAGTGTGGCTTTTCTACCCATAAGTCTTTGTAAACTCCAAGGTGGGAATTGCTATGAGCAACTGAGGAGCTCCTGATTGCTGAAGTTGTCCACCTGGAGTATTTCTGTTGGGAGTGGCACAAAACAATGTTCTGGGAGGTGCCTACTCTCTCTCAGGTGCTTAGAGTTCTGATGCTATAATTGGCTAGTTGACCACCCTGCTGGGCTCAAAAGGAGGCCTCCTAGAGGCAGAACTCTCTCTCTGACTGCTGGTTGAGGAAGACGTGCTGCTGAAAGAGACACGGGCTCCTGAGACACGCGTTGCTGGGAAAGAGACGCAAGAGACACGCATTGCTGAGTGAGACACCGAGGGACCAGCACTGCTGGGAAACAGATTGTGAGAGACTGTTGGCCAAGGGATGGTGGGGCTGGGCGAGAGACTGAGCATTTTTCCCTCAATTTGAATTGTAGCCTGTGGTGCTTCCCTAATAAACCCCATAATCTGTGAGCTCTGTGAGGCCACTGCATCAAATTATCGAACCCAGGAGAGAGGTGGTGATGCTTTGGGAGGAACAGCTGGAGAAAGGGCTGGAGGGAGGCAGCATGTCTGGCCTTGTAGGAATACGCCTTGGGTTACTGCTGGTAATCCTGTCTTCCTGTTGTGGGATTAGAGGTCAGAACATGTGGCCTCCTTGCCGTTTTAGCAGAACTCAAATATACATGTTGTTGTTGTTGTTATATTTTAAATTTTCAGTGTTTTTTAACCACATTGCATGAAGAAACAGAGGGCAACATGAAAACTCTGAGAATTTATTTTTATCAATTTGGAAAATTCTGTAAAAGAGTTTTCTTCTGAAGAAAAAGAACCAGAAGATCTCTTATATTTTTCAGTATTTATATTTGCAGTTATCAGAGATAAGAGCATTCTGGTACAATCCAACCACTCATAGAATAAACAACAGAATTATTTCCTTAATATCTAAAAGAGTCATAAAAATGCTTTAATGATTAGATACAATTTTAAATTATAGATGTGCTTTAATAATAATTGCACTCAAATAAGTTCCATCATTATAGAAAAGACTGATTTAAAAGTACAAAAGTATACTTTGCACTATTATGCTTTCTAATAAGAAAGAATATTTATTAGTTCATTCTTCTTTTTTTAACCTTTAAAGTGAGTGCTTTACTTTTACTTATGAACTCAAATATATAAAAGTATGCAACATTAGCCATGAAAGTAAAAAAATTCAGTATTTTTAAACATAAAAATATCTCTTATCAAAGCATCATATACCTTCAAGCATGTTTTCATGTTTTTAAAAGATAAATAACACTGTTTAAAAGGTTTCTTACAGTTATAAGTACATGTAACATCAAGATAAAAATCTTTTTTTTTTTTTTTGACTCTTAGACAATTCTTTCAGAGAGAAGAAAAAGGGAATGTATTTTTAATAGTAATGGAATGAAATAATACTACATGAATTTCTCATGTTTTAATGATATTGTTTTAAGAAGTCAAGGACGTTATTGATCTCTCTAGAATTTCAACAATGAAGGGTATAAACTGCAAATATATAGTTCTACTATGCTAAATAACTACTCAGGAATAGGTTCCCTTCCTAAAAAGCCATTTCCTACTTCCAACTGTAGATGGTCAAACCTTCTCCAACTGTAATTTCTCCTTTTTGCCCTTAGAATCACAGATCAATACATAATTTATATTTTCTTGTTTACCTGATATTTAAGTGGTAAACCAGAAAATAGTTGTGGCTTTTAAATTTTAAATCATAGACTTGCATAAAGATTTCTGTACAAGGTACAAGGGTAATTATCACAGCATTATATCTATGAACAAAAAGCGGGAAACAATTTTAAATCTAATTGCTGCTGTAGGTTGCCTTGAAGTTGATTCCGACTCATGGAGACCCCGTGTGAATTAAATCCAATTAGTAACATTATATCCATACAATGGAACACCACAGTCATTTTCCAAGAATACTTAAAATTTTATAAAAA